GTCAGGTTAAGAAGGGGATGAAAAATAAAGCCCCCAATATGAAATAGGCTGTGCTAATGTTGGATATATTTACATCTTAGTGGGACAGCTATTTTCTTACATTTTCCTCTGCTGGTATCCTTTTGAGACGATTAAGCTGTTCTGATAAATATCCCTCATGAAATGCATTCCTTTAAAAGCTATCGATGTTGGAAAATACCATAATGGTAGTAGTTACGAACAGCCTCACCCAGTGGCTAAATCTTTCCCATCCCAATCTGTCCTCCAGATGTGCTGGACTCATCACTCTCACTTTTATGAAGACCCCAGGTTGAAGGAGACTATTGTGCAAATTCTAGTGATAAATGTTAAGTGAAAAACTTATGACTTGGCCTGGTACTGAAATTTTAAAGGTTGCTGCCAAGTAAGCATCCTTATCCATAATACAGACTGGGCACTGTAGCCAAGAGACTTCCTAGTTTCCAGGTCCAACATTTTACACCAGGAATAGATGGGAATTAAACATGAATAATTCATAGCTGAAGAAAAAGTTGGACTTGAATATTTCTAATTTACTGGTTGTCATGTAATTTACATTTTGCAGGAATAAGAAGAAGTTTTTTTAACTGCAAGAGCAATGGGAAAAACAAAGGGATGTAATCTGCAAATGCAGCAAGAAATCCTTTCCTAGGGGCTAATAATTTTCATAAATTATTTACCAGTTTCTACTCTCAGAGTAGTCAGGCATTAAAATGCTGCATAAAGCTACACCTTAGGTAGGTGTCAGTCCTAAAAGATGGATGGCATCAATGAAGCAAGAAACCTGCTGAAATTATTAGGGGCACCATCTGTTCAACGTGTCCTACAGCTTTTGGCCTAGAACCAATGAGAGGTAATGATGTGCACAAGAGTTACCCTTCCCCCCTCCCCCCCCCCAAAATATCTCTGGAAGCAGCACTTGGACAATATAAATTACAGAGTGCACCCGTTGTGTGTCTGCTCAAAGCATGTCCCTCCAAGGAGTCACTACTATGATGTGGGCTGCAGATAAATTTCAAGCAACTGTTTTTTCATGCTCACGTTGAATGTCAACTGCAAAAAAACATTTCCATTTAAAAAAAAAGTTAATAACAAAAGACCAATGGACAATGGCTTTTTACAACTTTAAATATTGGCCAAAACTTTGACTCCTTATTTTAAAAGTTAAAACTTTTAACAGTTATTAATTTCTTAATACATTGGTTAATTGTACTTTTGTACAGCTGGGCTGGGAATGATTCCTGCCAAGTTCATACAGTAACATATGAAACAGAACTTTTCTCAAGGACAATATAAGATTAGGCTCAAAGAGCAAAATAAAATTGCAATTATTCCAAATAAGCAGAATGGTGACATTTCTTATTCCCCAAATGTGTCTCGGAAGAGTTTGGTAAAGCTCTTCGAGAGTTTGGTTGAGGTTGCTAAACTTCTACAATAGGAGACAAGTGAGAAATAGTTTGCTTTTCTTCCCTTCCCTGGCCTGTGGGACTACCAAAAGAGACGGTGTGCAGGCTATGTAGTCAATGCATTTGATAATTCAGTAGATTTATCCTAAGATTTATCCTTTATCCTAAGAAAATAAGCTTTTTGCTAGAAGGCAATCATACAATTACAATCCAGAGGAATTTTATTTGCAACAATTTGTAGTGATATTGTGAGGACAAACTACATATTTTTCCAAAGATATAATATGAACTCAGCTCTGTAACAGTTGACTTCTTTCAAATGTACAGTTCAAAAAGTTTTGTTCACCACATTATAAAAAAGATGTTGAGACTCTAGAAATTAAAGTACAGAGAAGAGCAACCAGGAGGATTAGGGGACTGGAGGCTAAAACATATAATGAATGGTTGCAGGAACTGGGCTTGGCTAGTCTAGGAAAGAGAAGGACCGGGGAGACATGATAGCGGTCTTCCAATATTTGAGGAGCTGCCACAGGGAGGAAGGGGTCAAGCTATTTTCTAAAGCGCCTGTAGGCCAGACAAGGAATAATGGATGGAAACTGAACAAGGAGAGATTTAACCTGGAAATAAGGAAAAACTTTCTGACAGTGAGAACAATCAACCAATGGAACAGCTTGCCCTCGGAAGTTGTGGGAGCGCCATCACTTGAGACTTTCAAGAAGAGATTGGACTGCCATTTGTCAGAAATGGTCTAGGGTCTCCTGCTTGGGTGGAGGGTTGGACTAGATGACCTACAAGGTCCCTTCCAACTCTGATTATCTGTTATCTGTATGTTACAGTACAGGAATATAATTGATATTAGACATGCATGTTTGGCTTAAGAGATAAGACTATTTTATTTTTAAAATGCCAAATTAATACAACCATATATAGGGACATCTATCTATAGCTTTTCAACCCCGTGTTACTTCCTCCTGATTGGAAATATTTCAGAAGCCAACAGCAAAGCAGTAGACTGAAAACCCAAATGAAGCCAAAGTTTTAATAGCATGCTATAAATAAATGATTCTTTAGGTCAGGTGTAGAGAATCTGTGCTCATATTGATATTACTTAACTAGACCTCCTAGTAGCTCCAATTATGTTACTAAAAGCATTCAATGCTGAGAATTATAGTTTAGCAGCATTTAGAGAGCCAGAGGCTCATCAGACTTGTTTACATAGATTTGATAGCTAATGTACTTGAGGTTAACATGTCTGCAATCTTTTCTCTACCCACATTCTTAACATCGCTAAGCTATGCCATTGCAATCTGACATATACATAAACATGGTATTCTCAGCCTTCTAAAAATGTAATTCCCTGAGTAAAAATAGAGGTGAATCAGAAAGAGATTAGCAAGGCATTTATGAGACACCTCCCGTTAGCAGCCATATTGCAAGTTAAGTTTAAGTAGTTGTCCTGAAGACTCTTCAAGCTTATTGGTTGCCTATCCTGTTCTACCTCTCTTCTCCCCACTGAGGAATTACTAGTATTTAAGGATATGCTTAGTCTCTTCTTTAAACAAGGCTTGCCTACGTAAATTCGTATGATGAAGGTTCTATTACAAGATGCAGCTTGCAGGTTTTACATTTTTGCCCTTCATACTTCTAGACTATGTCAAATTTTTCCCACCCATACAACTCATTTATAGGATCTGTGAAAATCAGGTCCTTCTTTTCTGACAAGCCTTAATTTTCCATTCACGGTAGGGAGATAAAACTAAAGGATTGGTAGTGCAAGAAAAAGTAACTACTACTACTTAAAATTTTAAATTATTGTAATTGTGGCCTAAATTGGGCAACAGGTCTATTATTTTTTTATTAAATACTTTTAAGAAGCCAAGTCTTTAAAAGTAATTTTGTGTGATAAACAGAAATGACTTCTAAAATACTTGCTAAAACCTATGAATAATTTATTTCCATTAGAACTACATTGTGCTCACTGGTGGGACTGAACATTTTTTACTTCTGCTCCTGTGGGCGTGGCTTGGTGGGCATGGCAGGGGAAGGTTACTGCAAAATTCCTATTCCCTCCCCACCCCACTAACCTGCTTTTCATCTCCGTTCTCCTGTGCAGGGCAACAAAAGAAGACCCAGCCAATCAGCAGGGACTTGGGAGGCAGAGAATAGATGGTGGCGGGGCTAGTCAGAGATGGTATTTGCCGGTTCTCTGAAGTACTCAAAATTTCTGCTACCACTTTAGAATTGGTCAGAGCCTGGTCAGAATACCACCTCTGATTGTGCTCATTATTTCATCAACCAAGTGACTATTTCTTTTGCTTTATGTCAACCTTATCTAAGGTGCTCTGTGCTCCACAACGAGAATTCTATTTACTGTATTTGCAGATTTTACTCAGGACAGAGTAAGTTTAATGTCATTACCCATAGGTCTCCAGAAAACAGAAGTAACATCTTCTAGTGGTGAAAAATTCTGTAACTGTAAAAGAAGGAAAATTTTAGGCTATACCAATAAAAATATAGATTCCTAATCACAGAAAAAATCCACCTCACTATTAGCTGACTCCTCATCAAGTATTGTATCTACTTTTGGACAATGCACACCCCCCAACCCGAAAGATTCAGAGAAAGTGGGAGAGATTTAAAGAAAGGCAATGGAGAGAATCAGAGATAAATTATATGAAGAAAAGTTAAAGTACCTAAGCACTGTTAGCCTTGATATGACCAAGAGGGAATATATGTTACTTTTCAAATAGCTGTCAGCCTTCAAGATTTTCTCCCTTTGCTTTGCATCGTTCGGCTGTCATACGTAACGGGGGGAGGAGGGGGAGAATGGTTATGGGAAGTGAACTGGAGGGGTTACAAACTAGAACTGTATAAACTGGGGGGGGGTACATTCTTGCTTAGGTTTCTATTGTATGCTATGCGTAGCTGCAACTCTTTATTAAACTATGTCAAGGTCAATGGACAGAAGCCTCATCACCACCTGGACATGGCCACATGATGGTATACACAACTTTTAATTGGATGAACCAATTGAACTATTGGGGGTGGGAACGTTGCCATTACTTTGTATATGTGATTTACGCGCCTATTTTCTCAGATTCAGAATTCTTTTGTTGCTACCACTTGATTTGCAGTAAAAGATATCTTTTCTCTGATCAAAGGAGTCTAAGTATTTCTTTCTTGGATTTTGAATGGAGCACCAGCTGACAATAGCTAAAATAATGTCAAATGTTCTAGAATGCGCAGCAAAGAATGGAAAATCCTAATTTTAGTTAAGAATCTTTTTCTAACAGATTCTTAACTAAAAGAGAGCTTGGTAGGGGGAGCAATTATCTAGAGATAGCGGGGTCTCCTTCACTGGATGTGTTCAAACAAAACATTTGTTAAAATGCATTAATCCAGATTTTAGTAATACATGATAGGGTAAATGGTCCTATCCAAGTTTATGATTCTATGCAAATATTGGAAAACCTCTCAATGGTTTTAATTTTCACATTTGTGTATTCCTATGTTAATGACACAGAAAGTTTCAGAATTGGAAGAATAAAAACAAACAAAACATTATTTCTAGAAGAGCTTTTAAAATGAATTTTATTGTCAGAATTTTTTTTACAAGTAGCCATTTAGAGGCTTCATACAAGAACTCTGTTGCAAAACTCTAATAAATAGTCTGCCCCAAGTCCCAATATTAAAAAACAAACAAACTAGAGAACAGAAAAAAAAGTCAGGATCTTAAGAGTTGTTAGCAATATTTCCCATTTACAAATTTCCTCAGGCATTATAGAGATCTCCTTCATACAAGTTACTTGGGGGGGTGGGGGAGGACGGACCCAACTTAAATATATTCTCCAGAAGCACTCCAGAAATACTTTCAAATCAATCCTCTTTGATGGCCCAGATATAATCAGAAATACATCCCAATGGGATGATCACCACACATTAAGCTTTAAGTCAAAGCAAACCATGTGGATTTGTACAATTATTAAGAATTATGAAAATGCATATCAAAGAAGGATAGGAAGACTCAATGGCAGCGGTTAAGAATATTTCCAGCAAAGCATGGTAGCTGGAACAAAGGAAAAAGTAATTTAGGAAGCTGACAGGTATGGGCTGTTCTTACCAAGTGTGGAAATGTGCAAGGAGCATTATCACAGTTGCATGCAGTGGAGATCACAAACTAAAATTCACCATATGTCACTTGAAACAATGTTTAGCAGGCTGCAGTATACACACTTTTCCCTCCCCACCCTAATATTGAAGAGTCCTGCAGGTGTGACATTTTATGGTAAGTTAGCCTCCCACCACACATACTTAACAATAGCCAGTTTTACTGAAAAATCCATAATATGATAATCAAAATAAATTTGGAAGGAAGGAAGGAAGGAAGGAAAGAAGGAAGGAAGGAAGGAAGGAAGGAACTTTGCATGTTTTAGTAACAGTTGTCCAATTATGATTTTATTTGAGGCAATAGCTGGAAAACTACTGAAAATTAATTTATGCCATATTTATGCCAACGGAGTAAAAGATATAGATTTGCATTTTTAACTTCTTAATCTGTGTGTGCACATATATAAAAAAATCTCTATATAAGTAAAGGTGCTAAGAGAGAATTCTAGCAGCCACGGAAAGCTATCAATAATTTCTTAGACAGCAGGAATTAAGTATTTATGAAAAATTAATTCAATCATTAGAAGGGACCACTGAAAGAAATATTCATGGCTGGTAAAAGACAGAATAATTCTTACAATAATAGCATTTTTTTCTCTTTTCCAGAGAAGAAATATGCATTTAATATATCTACTTTGCAATGTTTATCTCAAGCAGTTTCGTTTGGGAGCATCAAATTTATATAGATGTGCAAAAAATAAGTGGATAGTTTGACATATCCATAGCTTTGTGCTAGCTACACTTTATACACACATGGATGTGTATGCACATTCTGATATTCTTTGGGCAATGATTCTATACAACAGGTGTGGAGATAGCATTCTTAAGAGACACGCAAGACAGTTAACAACCTCTCTTGCCTGTAGTATATTCAAAATGATGGAAAGGAAGCATTGGGGGGAAAAGTCTTGCTGAAATATTTACTAAAGTAGCGAGAATGAAGCGGATTAATCTGAAACTTATACAAAGTAATGAATAGAATTAGAGGCAAATGGACAGTTATTCTAGTCCAAGTAATTTTATACAGAACAGGTAAAGAAAATGTGCAAAAAATCTAAAGACATTCACATTTTAGTAGTTAAATTTTTATTTCCTTTAAAATTATTATTTTTTCTTCTTTTCCTATAAAAGGCATTCACTGATAGTTGATCTGCAGTAATTCTGGGTGCTTGCAGATATGTTAAAATGAAATAAAGGAAAACCAAAAAAAGGTACCCCTAATATGAAACATATGAAAGTGCTCTGACTGGGTTTGTATAATTTAGGATGGTGTTAAAGCTCAGGCCCACTCCAGAGATATTTTTTGCCAATGTGTTTCGTTTCATATGTGCTATTAACTCATATCGATTGTGTTGAAAACCCATTCAGTGAATTTCTTCAGTTTTTCAGAGGCATTGTGCGATTCCTCTTGTAATCGTAAGTTATCCTCTCGTAAATGTTGCACTTCAGCCTGAAGATTGGCTTTGTCTTCTTTTTCCTGAGAGAAGAATAAAAAGCACCTGATATCACAAGTGGATTTTACACCGTAAGTATTACTGGCAACGTGAGCTCAGATATTTCTTAAAAGGTATTCCAAACTGGTCATGGCTTTTTCCTCTTAAGTTGATGACGAAGATATTTTGTCAGTTTTTCTAGATACATAATACTTTCCTTCCTCTTTTTCTAACATATCCTTTGGAGATTTACTAACAAATCTTTAAAAAAAAAAGCAAGACTGAAGAATCCCTGTTTTAAAAATATCACCAGATTTCACATATTCTGACAATAAGAACAAGAGCAACAACAAAAACGGAAACCTGGAACAGTTAAAAAGAAACAGATGGGACAATCATGGTAGCTCCAGAACAAGTGCTGCAAATTAATACAATTAAAGCCAAAACTGAGTATATTTTCAATGATGCTAATTATGTAAAATTAGAGATGAAATTATATACAATCTCTTTAGTAACTGGGGTAAAATCGTTCAAACAAACTGAAAATACTCCCATTACAGGGTGGAAAACTTGACCATTGGAATTTATGAAGATATTCAGCTTTATAGTTTGCAGAATCTATTGGAACTTTGTAATGAAAACTGAGAATTGAAATGTGAGATTTCAAAATTTATTTATAATATAATGTATCAAATATCACTGTTAGAGAAAAGAAGAAAGGATGGTACACTAATCCCTAGATACAACTGAATTGATGAAAAACTGGAGAAAACAACAAAATACTGTTATTTACAATTGAAGTTGAAAGATTATGGAGGAAAAAACTGATTATCACACCAATTGTTATTGGAGGTTTTCATGCAATACACAAAGGATTCACCAAATTATTTATAAATGTAATTACAAATGTAACTGGACTGGACACAATTTTGCCTTGTTAATTTTGCAAAATAACTAGGTTGTATTTGGAACAACCTATAGCTTTTGGTAATATCTTCAGGACTTAATGGGTCATTCTAAAATATACTATTATTCCAAAAGCAGACTTTTCAAGTGATCAACTGAGAGAAAACCAAATCGAGCCAAACTGAATATTTAATACAAGCTGATACTGAAACAAATATAATTACCTTCTTTAAATCTTCCTGTAATATTCTTAGCATACTCTCCAGCTGGTTCACTTTAGAAGCAAGAGAAGGAGGTGATTCTTTACTGCAAGAAAAAGGAAACAAAAACGGGCTTGCAAAGTTTTCTTAATATTTATTTCTTAATTACTTTATGCAGTACTTTTATTTTTTTAATTACAATTTGGAGCTGCATCATGACAAAACGATGAGCTGGAACAAAAAAACCCTCTTCTGAATTAGAGAAGGTCAAATTCTTCATTGTTCTAATTTTAATATAGTCTATTGAAGTTTTCCAAGCAAGGGTAGCTTCTTCAGTAGTTGTTTGTAAGAATACACATACACACACACACAACTAATTTAACAAAACAATTTCATTTTTTAACTTTTTAAAAAATCATCATATGCTATAGTAATGAGTGCTTTCAACCTGCTGGGTCATATTAGGGATGGTTATGTTACATTTTCATTCAGCAAATTCTGGTTAAAGAATGTGAGCTTGTTCTCCACTCCTTTTATGGTGTGAATGCAGATTTTAGTTCAATGGTAAATTTATTTCAACTTTAATCAATGTTCAGATAAGAAGAAGAATTAGCACTAACTCTATAGAAGCAATGATTGATTTCATATTCTTTTTTTACACAATTAATGGTAGGAATTTTTTAAAATATACTTGGCACATCATGACAATAACTTCAGTATTTTCAGGTATCTCATAATTTTTAGCCTCGTCTTTTTAGAGTTGATGATATTATATATACCTTTTTAATACTTAAATATGTTCTTGGTTGTAAATATTACACTAAAATCCCATTTGTCTGGAACATACATCTTTTCTTTTCTACTAATTACACAATCACTAAATGAAATGAACTTCAGATTCTTAGATAACATTATCACCTAACATAATATCCAGAAACTTCCTGATGCTGAAAACACATTTTCAGTTCTCCATAGGTCAGAGTGCATAGATTCTAAATTTCTAAGATTTACAGATTCCACTGCACAATAGTTTTCCCACCCTTCTTAAAAGAGTCATGGTGATTTAGCGGATCACTTACTCAGCGTAAGGCTTCATCTGTGCAGCAAGCTGATCTTCAGCCTGATCATTACTTGAGGCAACACTGATGGGCCTATGGTTTTCATCACCACTTGCAAAAAAGGATGCTCGCTGGACTGGGGGGGGGGGGAGACAAACACATATGCTGATTTTCTTTTCATTAGTATTACAGTAAAAGCATATATCATAACAAAATTAAAATCAATAATAGGAATTGAAGATCTACCCTTCGGGTAATTATGGTAACCTTTAATTCCTTTTTGACACTTTTGCCTTTGAGTTATATAATCTGCTCTCCTCAGTTAAGACCAGGTCATTTCTAGAATCTAATGAACATAGATGTAGTCCTCCTTTAGTGACCACAATTAGGACTGGCAGCTCTGTTGTTAAGTGAAGCCAGTTGCTAAGTGGAAAAATCACACGATCATGAGTGTGCATTTCCTTTTTCCAATCCCCTGCCTTTTGGAATGCACATGCACATGCACATTCACACACATACACAGAGAGGCTGGATTAATTAGCAGGAAGGGATTTATTGTTTGTATCTAAATTAATTGGAGAGGAAAGGATTTCAAGAGACTAAGTGGGGACACACTGGGGAATACACATCAAAAGTAACATAGTCTTTGCTAAGTTTGGTGTGCAAACAGCCTGGGTACATTCTCCCTTGTACAAGTTAATAACATGGTTGTTCAGCGAATCTGGCTTCCCCATTGATTTTGATTGTGAGAAGATCCAAAAGGTGACCACATGACCCCAGGATACTGCAACTGTCATAAATGCATGCCAGTTGCCAAGCGTTCAAAGCTTGATAATGTGATCATGGAGAGGCTGAAACGGATGTAAGTGTGAAAACAAGTCATATAAGTCACTATTTTCAGTGCCATTACAACTTGGAATGTTCACTAAACAACTGTTTGTAAATCAAGGGCTACCTGTATTCCCAAATGACTTTGGTGACACATTTCAGCTGTGACCAAAATATAGCCAAAATTTTGTGTTCCTTTTACTTCTTCTGACCTGGTGTGAAAAGTTATGTTTTGCAATTTCTATAGAGGCGATTGTAGCATTCATAGTGAAACAACATACGTTGAATCCAGTAACACTAATAATTATTGAAGCATATAAACAAAAGAAAGCAAATAATACTTCAGCAATCGATCATCTATGAAGATGAATATGGGTCTCAAGAGCTAAATAAAGACTTGTAAGTTGGTGTGAGCACATAATAAGTAACGAACTCTTACCTTCAAAGGCTTTGGCAGCATCTACCAAATTTGACCAATCTAAATCTGAAGCTGAATCAGGCAAGGGCATGAGCCCTGGATCTGGCATCGGTTGCCTTCTCTGCTCCTGGGTATCTGTGAGGGAGCTGTCAGAGGCAGAGAACTCTCCTAAACCACAAAGGATAGAAAAAGAATAAGAATAAGAAAGAAACACTTAAGACAGATATTAAAAGCTAATAACCCTGTTCTTCATAAGGAGACAGAATCAAAATTGAATGGAATCATTCTTTTTTTAAGATGAAACGATTTTTCAAGTTACCCTAGCCTGCTACCGATATGTTCCCCAACTCTGCCAATCAGAAAAGAATCAGCATTTTTTAAAAAATCACAAGGCACTAGTAAGTTTTATTTATTTGATTTTTTTTTATCCTGCCTGTTCAATTGAGGTGGTGAACATCTTTTCTCCTCCTATTTACTCCATAACAACAACCCTGTGAGGTGGGTTGAGCTGAGAGAGAATGACTGGCCATGATGCACAATTGGTCTCTTTGACTTCTGCTTGCTGCAGTTACCAAATATGTGAATCGTTTTTCAGAATATATACAGTTTACCTTAACTGTGAGTTCAAAAGAGTCACTTTTTAGCCACTCTTTCTCCTCAGCATTTTTTCCTCAAAGGCTGGTTAAAACTATATGCTTGTTTGTTCTGTTTTCCTAAAAATGTTACCACAGAATCTTACTATAATGCATCCCATTTATTATTAAAAGATGAATAACAATTGGTAAATTGATTTATGATGTTTGATCATCCAAGCAAGGCTATTTCAAAGTTACGGAATATATTTAGCATTTTTAGATAAAACATGTTTTTTTTTTTTCAATTGCTGGATCAAATTGTTTCTGTGGGACGGGGCTCTAAAGGAGTCTAAAAATAAAGAGCACAACTATCCCAAAGTAATAATAACAATAATGTATCAAGCAGCATTCCTTTGAAAAAGTATATTTAATATTCCAAATTAGCTACAATGTTAACAAATTAGCTAAAATGTTAACAATTAAAGGGAACTCAATAGATTATAGTATTCTAAATTCCTAAGTTATACAAGCAATGAATAATTAATAAATGCCCATTAATTGTCCATAAATATAAATGTTGCAGATTACAAATATTGATTTAACCTTAGGCATGAAAGCCAATTGGATGACTTTAGGCTAGTTATTTGCTTTCAGTTCAACCCTCCTTATAGAGTTGCTGTGGGAAAATAGGATGTAGAACCAGTATTTACACCACCTTGAGTATTACAAATAAAGGGCAGTATATGGTAATAACAATAATTATGTAAGTAAAACAAAACATATATAGTAGGTTTAGATGTAGCATTTCACTTACCATGTAAGGATTTCATTCCCAATGTGTATGATGGCCTTCTTAGTGGTAATGATTTGGGGAGAGATGGGTATGTACTGGTGAAAAGGACATCGTTTGGAAGAGCTTGGTCCAGAAGGGAAGCTCGGGAGGGGAAGAAATGTTCTCTTTGACTGCTATAAATACTCTCATCTGACAGAGTTCGCTGCAAGGCACGCCTTGAAATAGGAGTGCTAGGGAATGGAGACTGAAAGAAGAATAACGCAAGTCAAGAATGTGTAACACTCCTTTTAAAAATGAGCCACTCTTAATATGTTTTGTATCATGGGTTGGGTTAAGGAAGTTTTCTAGAGGTGCAGTTAATCTGCATCAATTAAATGCTTGCCATGAGAATTCTTGTTACCCTGTGCTGTAGAAAAACATACTAGAAAAATCCTTATTCAACATATTGGAAAAGTGTAAAAATGCAGGGTTTTTTAAAAGGGATACTCTCTTGCTGACAACAATATGGTATCCTAATCTCCTGAAGGATAACTGGGGTTGCATAAATAAAAGAGATAGTTTTATTATTGTATGGCATTTCCCAAGCTAGCAGCATTTTAGGAGCCTCAGAATCCACAAATGGTGGGACACTCCCTTAGTGGAAACAGGTTTATGCTTGTGCACCTGTACTTGTTGGATAAGTCCGACATTCAAAAACAAACCAATTAATTGGTTACTTCTGCACCTAAATGCTGATGCAGCTTCCACTTCCTTTACATGCCAATGTTCTGTCCATGAGAGTATACTGTGAGACAATAATTTATTCTGGTAATTATCTCATTTTTTAAAATAAAAAATGTAGCATTATACGATAGTGTAGCAAAAGCTGGCCCTTCAGTTTCAAAATTAAGTTCACTTAAATTGTGAACACAATGAATTGAATTGTCAACTAATGAGTTCAACTGTCTTTTTCACTGAACTCCAATGATTTGGCTATGCTATGATACAGTGAGTCTTTCAGCCTAAGCTGTAGATATGTTTAGTTACATATAAGTTTTGAGATATTTCCTTATTTGGCTTCCTTAGGATTATAGTGTTATTTATTTGACTTGATTTTTATTATTAACTTTTTATCAGAAATTAATGATAAAAATTTCTTCTAGGGGAGATATGATGAACTGAACATCACTCAGTCAAAATGGAGCCAAGAACCACAACAAAGATCACGGAACCAGTGAATAGATTGATTCCTTGGAACCTCTCCAGATAAGGAGAGCACAGGGAATCACCCACATATGTGCCAGAAGGCTGCTCCTTGAGAGGAGACTGCAGGACAGCGGTTTTCCTGCAGTCTGAACACCAGGAGATGAAGGAATTCGACATCTTGCTTTGTAACTGTAGCAGAAACTTTGAATGGACACTAGGTCCCCAAATCTCACTTTCTAATCAGTTTTAGAAGTTGTCTTAAGCATTTAAAAACTGTTAAGGACCTTCAGAATGACAGGTTTCAAAAGCTTTATTGCATTAGTTTATGCTCAACTCTGAACAAAAGAAAAATTAATTATTAGCTTAAGAACTTAAAGAACTTGAAATAAACAGAGGAAAATAAACAAGATTTTGATCTTAGAAAGTTACATACAAGTTTGAGTCCAGATAAATTTGGAATACTGAAACTTACAATAAGACTTTGGAATTAATTATAAAGAACAGGATTCTGTAGGAAACAGGCTTTTTTTTTAAAGAAATGCATACAGAGATAAGCAATTTCATGATTTAAAAACTGCACCCTAGATGGGACTAAAGATTTAGCTAGAGGAAAAAATGAAAATACTGAAAGCGAGTTTTGAAGAAAGGTGTTAGAAAGTAATAGCCATGATACCAACAATGTCAG